AGTTTCGCTCATCAGTAGTGAATATCAGCCGACCTGTCTGGGATTTGAACTCCGGACCCATCGCATGAAAGGCGTGTGCGTTACCATTGCACCAACAAGCTCATGCCATGGTTGAACCAAATTTCTAATTCATGTTTATTAAAAACCAATTATTCCATACCATTACTCACAAATAACTGTGAGTCAAACTTGAAATATCAATCCAGCCTTGTAGATTCGTTGGCGAATCAGTCCGTATCTGCAAGGAAGTCCTGATTTGGTGGGAGGCTTTCGACTGGAGTTAACAGTATGTCATCTTTGTCTTCCTTCGATGCTGTCGGGTCACTCTGAACTGACTATCACTGAAGACGACACCTGAACAAACATGTACTGGCAATTTGGTTCAGCCAACGCATGAGCTGGTTGACGAAGTGGTAACACACACGCTTTCTATACATCAGCCCTTTAATTGACAGCATTTCTCTTCCCAAAAAAGAAGCGAAAATCAAACGAACTATACAACGAGGGCTCTGTTGAATAATATTCTAGTTGCTACGATAGGCCATGGAGGTAGTGTTAGAGATATCGTGATTCAGATTCCAGCATTGATCGATAAACCAGAATACCATATTTTGTGAAGGGAATTCAAACATGGAAAGGAAATTGAACGTCACACTCTTGGTTATTGACAAAATGCATTTGTTTTAGCCAGGATGATCAAAAACCAGTACAAATTATATTATCTGTACTTTTTGTGATTAGTCATTATTATATTAATAGACACAGGATGGCAATACTCCGTTTCGATGTCAGAGAAAACCATAGCATTAGCAATTAAAAAATAACGATTGAATGGATATGACAGGCTATTTAGATGCAAGATAATTCTGATTCTGTTTCGACTGCCTTCAGCAGTATGACTAGTTGGTCGGTAGTTGCTTTGAATCTCTTAGAAAGACGAAGTCCCTTCCAGAAGTGGTATCCTTAATTGAGTGGATCCACTTTAACCATCCATCTATCCCATTTATCCCACAGATGTCTGCCACATGAATCCAATTGTCACTGTTCCGGTCGGGTGCAACGCCATGGTCACTCGCTGGTATTTCGATCCGCGTGAGGCCACATGTCGAAGTTACATCACATGTCCACAATATGGTAACAATTTCCCATCGGAGAAAGTTTGTCAAGACATTTGTGCACCGACGCATTCTCTACGTAAGCAATAACCGAAAGTTGTGAAGTTCGGAATTCTCTGATAATCTGATTACACTTCTATATTTTCACCCCTATCCTGAGCACATTATTAGTGATAAAAATATAATAATAATAAATGTCTTTTTACTTCCTTTTTCTATTTCTTGAATATACAAATGTACAGTCAACTTTCAGGAACGAGGCTGCGGTCATACAAAGGCTGCTGGAAAACAAATGCTTCGATCCCTTCTGCACACGACAGGCTTTCTCCTTGAATTTAGTTGCCTCGAAATAAAGTTATTCATTCACGATCTCATATTCCCCTTTAATAAATGCATTCAATGAATTGTGGACCAATTGATCATTGGCTTAAACAGTTTACTTGCTCCAAAAAACCCACGACTCCACTTCTGGTCTTCTGTCTTACGTGTCAGTATCATAAAGGTCAGTTAGATTACTAAACAAACATACAACGTACAATTTACTTCATTATCACGAAAAGGTGCTCCAGAGAGCAAGCAACACTAAGGGATACGAGTGCAACACCGAGTATGATTTGTCTTTCTCCGATACCCGCATTGTGAATCAGGAATTCAGTGTAAATCCCCCATCTGATTGATTCTTTGGGTATCATCACTTAGAAGTGAAATCCAAGATTGCAAGTAGTACACGGTTTGCATTGGGAACGTCTTTTACTCAAAACTCCATCCGAACAGGAATGTGCATCACTGTCGCTTACAAACTAGTCTGCGAATTTCCTCTGTCCTTTCTTTGGTCATCCTTTATCATTGATCTTCCAAACTCAAACTATTATATAAACATTTAGCAAATAAGTTTTTCGTCATAGTAAATCTACTTTGAGTGCTTCAGTGGACTGTTCTCAGTATCTGTGACGAACGCCATGCCATGGAGCTGACTGAACTGGTGTTAAGCAAATTGGAAATGACAACAGGATGCCACCCTAAACATAATCCCTATGTCCGAACCGTTTTACGCAGAGGTTTGTCGACAACCCCTCGATTTGGGCGGTTGCTCTCAGTTCATCACACGTTGGTACTATGACGTCCGGTCCCGATCGTGTCGACCATTCTTCTACGGTGGATGTTTTGGCAACTCCAATCGATTCCTCACCAAGGCCGAGTGTGACAGTATGTGTGCAACACAGGATGTGTGTCGTCAACCGGTACAAGTAAGTCGAAAGAAACTATGTTCTTGAATTCTGTATTGCTATGACAATGCTATATAAACATGTACATATATAAATACCAATATGATAAAAATTTATGATGAAGCTGATTATATTTTGCAGAGCGTTCACCAAGAGGTATTTTGACTTCTATTACCAAGCCACACTTTCCCCGATACGGGTTTGACCCCTCCACGTGAGGAGTTTTTTACCTAGCTAGTTTAATTGTATTCCCTCCATTTGTGATGATGTGTCACAGAAAGCGACAGCCAATTATGCATCAGGACCGTACTTATAGGTCTCTACAAATTTTATATTACGATTCACAGTATCCCGTTCAGAGGACGCTGGTGTGGGACCCAAAACCCATAATCATCAAAAGTTCAGTGACTGGATAAATAAAACGAGATCATAATGATACTTTGCAATCATTCTAGTGCCCGTATTAACTGTACTAAAAAACAGTGTCTCAGTTCTTATCCGATACGGTTGGACTGACTGAGCGGAGAGATTGTACATTTTCAAATCATTCGTAAATCTCTTGTGGTCTCGTGTCGTAACCCACTCCACAGTTCTGTTTCCTTTCGTCATAAACAGCACATAAGGAAATAATTTCTAACCNTTCTAACCAGATGTTAGGACCACAGTGCCTTTTCTTTTCTGTATACGGGTCTGTTGTGCATCCATGTGTGAATGGTATTCAACGCGTCATCATTCGTGTTGTCCAGTCACAATGTGGTTAAATGTGATCGATCAGAGCCCACTCAGAGCCCCCGTTTTGGTGGTAACATGTGATACACATGTGCGTTGCAGCAATCACATAAGAGATGCCTACCCCCCACCCCCACCCGGGCACCCACCACATTTTCCAAATACAACCAGCCTCCATAGCATGCCGTCACGTGACCGGTAGCTTGACCCAGTAAGTGGACAGTGTATCATACTACCTTAGTGCACGCACTATCATTTTCAGAATCTCTAGCCTCATATACTGCACTTGGTAAAGTTAACAAACAACCTGTTCACTTGGATATCACTTATCTTGACTAGTGAGGCCTAACCAAAAGTGTATATGGTACCCTGCAGGAGGGGAAGCGTTCGATCGGTATCACTTTTGGAGATTTGATGTTGACAATCAATAAACGTGATTGTCTGCCGAACAGCTTAAAACATGAGTGAAGATGATGAAGTTGGACTTAACCTACACCTAGTCTGAATTTGGGTTTCACAATAGCCCGGGGTATGATTGCCTGAATGACGTGTGGCTCACTTTGGTTAGCGGCACTCATGTGACTGCAGTCACCGACACAGTGACACTGCACTGAGGGTGAGGTTTTGAAGTCTTTAAGAAAGTCCCCTACCCGGTCTGGACAGCCGGGACGTATGCTACCTCGATTGGGGCTGGAGATTTCGTCTTCTACCAAATTCCCAAGATTCCACCCGGATATTACATTCGTGAAACCAAAGCATCCTCTCGCAGGAAAGAGTAGCATTAAAATCCGCAATAGGATTACCCCTGTCCGCGCGGTCCGGATCACCAAGCTCCACAAACGGACTGCTACCAGTCAAGATATTGAGGAGGCTGACAGGAGACAGTCATAAAGAAGTGAACATGAAAAGGGTAACCGATAATTCGGATTTGGAAAGCGGATTGTACTGACAATCAGTTCAACTTAGTTTAGATTTTCCGTAGTGCTCTTTTTATTTCACAAACCCCTATTTGTTCGTTTGGATTACCGATCCGTGTCCCTTTGCTAAATTGCAATAAATTATTCAAAAGTTAGAAAAAAATAGCATCACGAGAAAACTGGTTTGTGTGTGTTGCATTTACGACTGAATGAAAGTGCCTACTGAAAGCACAAACAGTCCGTTTTCGATTGATAGCATCAGCCAAACAGCTAAAGATATTGCACACAGACACACATCCTTTTTGGACTATGTACTAAGCAGAAGACTAATCAGTCTATACCTATATGTTTTAGATCTAAATGCAAGTCCATTGCGTTTCCAATCGGTTCATGTTGAACGAAGTGAGTGAAATTATAGCGCATAGATAAAATTTAGTAGCCGAAACAAAGAGCTACCCGTTTCCACGATTTAGAGGCCTTTTACTATTTTTGTGCGAGATAGTTCCATTAGGATAACTTGCTCCTGTGGAGCAAAATATGTTGGTCGCACGACCAAGCGTGTCTGTCCGAGCGCATCCGTGAACATCACCCTGCGTGGTTGAGAGGCGGGGTAATTAAGCCAATCACAAGTGCGGACGTGTCGCACCTTGTCGACACTGATCCCATCGTAAACTTGACCGAAAAGTTCCTATCCTTGTAGAGAGCCGAAACGGGACGGTCCGGACACGTGCGGTTTCGCTAGAACGCGAGTTCTAACCACAGCGGCGGCAGTTATTATCTGTGCTCAAAAACAATTTGTGCAAGCACCAAAGCTCCCATGGCCAGATTGCCCTCAAGTGACCCATTATGAAACATCGGAGCAAACGATAATTGAGGACCGATTGTTAATTTCCATTCTGCGGAATTAGAATGAACTACCTTCCCGTGTTAAACCTAGCGACAAGTGACGCGCAACGTTCCGGTTCCGATGCAATCAAAACCAAGACTGTCTCGTGATACGGTACTATTAATGCGAATTAATTAATGACATCATAAATAATATACAAACCTTGATTCGTGAGGTATCTGGGTTAGGACAGTCGTTAAGGCACTTCCAGATATAAGTGCATCAAATAAGAATATGAAGGTGCTCAACTGTGTCGAAATACACCTTACAATCAAGGTGCTTCAAAAGGGGACAGCTCACTGCCGTGTCAAAGAGAGAATGTGTTCAAAGTATACGGAGTCAAACAAAATAAGTCCAGTCAGGCAGCGACATTAGGCTCCCAAAAGATGAGCCAATTATAAGAGAGTTGGGCGCACATAATTCGACCTCTCAACAGGCGTGCGTGCATGCATGTATGTGTTTGTGTACATGAATAAGTGACTCCGAAGCAGTCATCAAAACAGGTCACATGTGCGTAGGTGGTTAAATAATCGATAAATAATAGACGCTGAACCGGTACAAACGGGACATAGGTCAACCAATAGTAAGGGACAATGGAGATCACAAGAGAACTCGTGTGGTTGAAGTCATACGATTAAGCGATGTGCGTGTTTCTGCATATCCATTACCGTGTCAGAAACATTCATTTAATCGACCACACATTGTCCAAGCCAATTTGAAATAGCTTGAGGGTTACAACTCAGCCTCGAATTACCTCGTTTATCGGAAGCTTGGAAGATGTCACAGGCTGCATTCTGAATGCAGTTTAACTATATAAATAGAAGCACCTAAACCCAAGGATATAGGTTGCTTACTCTGAATTGGTTCCCAGATAAGATTAATGGGAATAAAGTTGACCGTATTCGTAACCACATTTTGAAAACTTCACTTACATTTGTTCAAATGCGACTGATTTGACAAAGCACCTTATTGTGTTCCGGATATACTGTCAAAATTATTATTTTGACTGTTTGGTACCTGTCTTTATGCCTCAACGCTGATATGAAACGCCAGACAAACGAGGGGAAATACGTTGGAGTAGAAAAAACCCATTTTACATAAGACTGCATTTTACAGGTGACACTATGATGGAACGTTGACAACAGTGATCAGTCAAACGTTAAATGCATCGAAATTGTGTGTCACGTTCGCATCCAGATCGAAACTCACGCGGCAGCTCAAAGCCAAAGATCCTGTTTCTGCGATCTCATTCTGTGTTTACTCTTTCACTTGTTCCCGGGGGGACATAACGAGTACATCAGTCGCACGAGCTTGACGCTTGACTCACGAGGTTCGTGACCCTTATTCGGCTTGGTTACACACACTGGGGTGACAAAGTCAATTCGGAGCGCGTAATCTGTTCACACCTTGTCTAGTCAGGTCAGTTATATAGTTAACTGGACTCGAGCGTTTCGTCCCCTAAACGAGTTAAACGACGACGCATCCTGGCCACAGCGGAATAGGTAGAAATTCGCATTCATCATGCATCGTTGTGTGCGCAAATTTGTGAAGACATTGTATCTTCAATAGCTCTTCACCAACCCTATTTTCATTCACCCCTCCCAATCTTTGACAAATTCGGACTGGTGACACCACACCGGAAACAGTCGTTGTAAACTATATTCTTTCAAGTTTATTAATTTATTACTGTCTTTTCTATAAGTAATATCCCCACCCTCTCGTATTTTATCCCAGTTACTATATATAATTGGTGAAGAAGAAGACGAATAGCTGAAAACAAGTTTTGTTCGCTACGTTGAATTCTGTGCATAATTATCTGACAGAAGTGGGAAATAATTGCAAGTAGAATATTAACTGATAATGATGTTTTGTTGATCAATCGAGCATGATCCTTTGTTATCCACGAGATATTGCACGCAGGGGTTGGTTACTCAAAATGAGGGAAGAACTACATGCAACATACAGATAAACGTATGTGTACAAACAAACTGTGGAAATACACCATGGTTTTGAGGCTTGTGAGACTGAGGAAAGTCACATGTCTCTCATTCACCACCCACGGATCAAGAGGAGAGTGCGAAAACTTTGTACTGAGTAATGGTCATTCGGACAGTGTAAGAAAGCTTGAACTGGACGTGGGCCAGTTAGCTCTGATGAGGTCAACGTCCTATACGGACATCGAGATTTGAAAGCGCGACAACTTGAAATAACGACGGGACAAATTGGAAAGAACCCCGGGAATCTTGAATTGCAATCTGGAAAATTTCAGTTGCAGGAGGTATAGCACCAGTTTTCTTGCTTAACAGATTCTCAGTAATGGTCTACACATGACGTAATCATAGCATTCATCAACGGCTTATGCAATATCCGAAATACTCGGTAAGCAGATCCAGTGAACTGGGACAGATATCTTTATGTCGGTTGAATTCATTGCCGTAACACGATCTGGTACACATTGAAACCATGGGCAAACGAAGCGTGAACTGAAAAGTTAGGAAGAACTGGACAGCTGTTTTGAGCTGTTTGGGTCTCATCAGCCGTACGAATCCATCAACCCAACTGATGATCGAGCGGTAGACCTTACAGGAAGAAGGCATTCATGCTACTCCTTTCAACACCGGATAACCGATCAGACTGCTTTTCAATTAGCCTGTATACGATATTGCGAGCTTAATATATAGGCATCACACCTTGTTCATCTCAGTTGGAAACATTTCGACCAAACTACTTGTTGTGTCCAAGACGAAAATAGATCATTATCATTTTGCTTGAGAACGCGATCGATTTGAAATTTCACTCATTATCGTGTCCTGTTTGGGGAACTAGGGAATACAAAATAAAACCTCATCTCACCGATGGGATTCATTTTTCAGAGTCGAGAAAACGTACCTCTTGGAACAGACTCATTCAAGCAGAAATCAAATCATTAAGAGAACGACAGAACCGTGATCACGTGGTCAGACTGTAGTCAACCTCAAAATGCATCCAATATGTTCGCTCCCCCCCCAANCTGTAGTCAACCTCAAAATGCATCCAATATGTTCGCTCCCCCCCCCAAACACACAAACATCGAATACAACAATCTTGCGTGAGAGATCTAACCAGCTCGACGGAAGGAATAAATGAGAGGATAATGCCCGAACGGATCGTTCAATGTTTACCGTGTTATTGTGAACAACAGTTTTTGTGCCACTTTTTTCATATACCGCGTTTCAACCAAATTGAGGCATTTAGTTTCTCATTTTTAACGCCCCATACTATCACCATTTTTATAGTCGCATTTGACTACATGCAGTAAATTTTATTTCCTTATATCAGTACAGTATATATATGCCGGTGTCGAAAATAACACAATCGATTGCTATCTTAACTCACGAATTGGTGATGATTTCAGGTTCA